GTTAAAAAAAATTTTTTGCGCAATTGCTACAATTCAGAGTTCCATTTCGTATCGATAACAATGCTTCATCCAAAATAACCAGAAGATGACAATAATCAAAGTACTCTCGTCGTCAACATGAGTGAATTTCCAGTCCAGAGCCAAAGGCACAAAAGTCCAAATAGCATAAACAAATAGCGGGCACCTGTCAGCGTAGACAGAATTACAATAGAAACAATTAACACTTTTGGAGCTCTCTTACAAAACCAGATTACCTGTTAGGGCGCACGCGGCTCCATATATCCTGCCGACGACGTCACAACCTCACTCGCCTCAACCTCACGTTACAGTGGCTGCTTCCAATGCCCAGCGAGCCTCAACAGCGAAGACGCCATCTTTAAATTACTGTATGAATCCATAACAGTAATGAATAATGAAGTTATTAAATTAAAAATAAAAACATTTACTAATTTATTAAAGACGTAGAGAAATAAACAAATAAAAAATACTGAAGTATTTTATTTTTCAGAAGTGTTTGATAGCAAAAAGTACGAAAAGCATACGAGTACATTCAAAATGCAGGTCCTACTCTTCTTACACTTATTTTTCTAACTGTTAGATGCGAATTGGCTCTAGCTGCATGTATATATGAAAGAAAGATCTGAATTACTGGGAAGACGATACATCCGATAATGGCTGATGGGTGCACTGTTCAAAAACGCATTTCCCCTAATGCTGGATATCTATTTAAACGAGCGATGGCGGAGGGACGTAATAACGAGATCTGTCCTGAAAACCATCTCTCATCATTTCACTTTCAAATACAGTTCTAATATTACCTGTAGTCTATAAACGTTCAGGTTTTTTTTATCTTTCTCTCTGTGCTTTCATAGTTACAATGCGAGACCCATATACTGGCGACACTTAGAATGTTACGTGCTGATATGACATGAAGAACGAATAAAAATATTCAACACTCAAACCTATTTTACAATTTTGAGAAATAAAGGAAATATTCCTCGACCCTGCGATAATAGGTGTAGTATTCCTCAAGAGTTAGGGAAAAAATGTTTTTTATTTATTTATAAAAAATAATGATGAATCAAAAATACACGGCTAGACAAAGCAACTGAAAAGGAACTCTCTTTCTGCTACTTTGTACAAACGTTTGTTTTGATAAATATCGTCAAATAAAAAACTTTCATTTGTGAAAAATTAACTGAATTTCATAAATTATATGTGTAGAAGAATTGATAGATAGGTGGGCAGAGAAAGAAAATCAAAACTATTTAAAGGGTCGTCCAAAGTAGATGTGAGCAGAAAATATAAACCAATTTTCAAGAACTACAATTGAGCGAAGCCCTTTTTAGACACTTTATAAAACATATTTTTATTACTGGTATCACGTGTATAGTACACATGTAGTTCAGCAATTGGAACGCCTCAATACAAACCCCTTGAAGCTGGAAAAGAAACGATACAGCAGCCTATCCAGATGTTTCAGCTTGAGCGGAGGCATCTATAGCCGTCGAGCAAGAGGACTTACCACAAGCAAAAAATGATCTTGAACAAAATTCTGGCAACGAACAAAGGAAAATGAGGACACTTTTAGGAGTTTCAGAAAACTCAACAAGCATGACGAGAAACTAAATCTGTACTGTGATCAGATCTATCAAGTATGAAAACGCTTGTACAACTTCTAAAAATAATTTAAATAATTATTGGGTCTTCTATGCATCTCATATTCTAATCGCTTTGTTTCTATTCGGAATCCTATCAATGACCACACCCACAGATAATAAGCGTCTGGGAAAGCTCGTAAGTAAAAAAATAAATTGGAGCCCTCGCGCTCAGTCAGTATGGTCATTATATCAATTCCATTCCAGATCGTTGTTTCCTTCTGCATAACTTTCGGTACGCTTCTTGAACAAAAAACAGCGGCGACACCAACCGAACTGAGTCGCTGGAAGAAACTTTTTTTCTTTAGTATCACCCCCTTTGCCTTTTTTAGCCATGTCCAAGACGGTTTTTGAAGGGTGGAAGGCTATAAATGAATGAATGAATGAATGAATGAATGAATGAATGAATGAATGAACGAGTGAATGAATTATGATGATGATGATGATGATACAAATATAGTGTTAATGATGATGGTGGAATAATTAATGAAAGGTGTAGGAAGCCACAATAATCCTAATTTGCCGCAATAATCCTAATTAAACTACACATTCTACATTATTGGCCTGGGATTTGAACACCAATACGGAGAGATAGAAGCAGTCTAAGCAGTAGAGCACGGGTCGCGGTCTAAAAGAGCCTGAATTTATTTACCAACTGAAAAAAGTACATTACTCCGTAAGCGGCAGCAAGCCGCCTTGTACAAGTCCATGAGCGTTTGCTCCAACCTTTATGCAATTTCGCTTATACGCTATTGCTCAGTCAACACAGTTCGTTGGATATCATTAATTAAAAAGAAATTCAATAGCAAATCAATTTATATTCATTTCTTCTTGATAATGTATTAAATAATAATCATTAACAATAAATGTTTCCATAGCCTTCTTCTTAATTTATCAATTATATTAACAAACAGTATTAATATTATGAAAAAATTTAATTATCATTACGTTTGAAATTAAACTGAACCTTATTTTGTACTTACATATATTAAAACAAAATAATTGCCAGGTAACATATTTCCCACATTTGGAATGAGCACATGTCGCGGCCACAGTTTTGCCCTTCCGCATCGCGACGCAAACCACCGCCCGGCGAAGGGCGCTTGAGGGGGCGTGGCCGCGGCACTGGCCGCCCTCGCGGGGCCCTACGTGCCGAGAAAACTCTCTCATTAGTCAAAGGTACGCGGCGGGCGCGTGCTTTGTTTTAAGCGGCGCCGCGGGGAGGCGCTGGCGGCAGCGGCGGCGGCGTGGGCGAGGGCGCGGCCGCGGGGCGCGACGATCTACAGTCGGCGATGTGATTGCAAGGCGGGCGAGTGGGTGGGCGATGGGCGAAGGGGGAGGGGCGACGAGATAAGAGAGCTGACGCGAGCCGTTCGTGGATGGGCGACGGAGGAAATGACAGGGAGGGTGACGAGGGCGGGAGGAAGGGGACGCCGAGGGAGCAGAAAGTCTGATGGCGGGTTCGAGAGGACTGGTAAAGACACTTGAAAGACCTGACAGCAAACAGGAGACTCCCCAGAAAGATAATGAGGATAAATCGTGCGAAACTGTTCGGTCGCGGCAAAAAGCGTCAAGATGCGCGTTTACGCGCGCGCGCGTGAGGTCTGGCTGAGAGTCGTTGAAGGCAGCGCGCTGCCTGCGTTTCATCTCCGAAGAGGAGGGTCTTTCATGCAAGGATAGACACTTTCTTCTTAGACAACTTCCGCTTTGTGATGAACTTCAATGTGGGGAGGGGAGTTATGACGGGGAAGTTTTGCGGCGGGTGGGAGTTACAGAAGGGGAGGCGCGGATTACCGCGATCCTGCTGATATAAAATTAGAACAAACGAGTTTCATTGTTCGCTGTGGAAAATAAAATGACGACGCTGCGCATCGTCTCATTACAATGAAACGTACGTCAGTGAACATGAATAAGAAATTATTGACAATCAAAAAGGTATTTGCTTGTTAAATGAGTGGAAGTTAGATAGCTATGCTTCTGGTATGTTTTAAATGCACGTATTTCACTGCTCGAAACAGGGAATTTAAGACATCTTCAGTCTTTCGCGTTCGTTGATGAATCTTCCATTCATCTTAAACAAATATGTTGGAAATGCTTAAGAAATGTCCAAGAAACGAATAAGAAAACAGACAGCAAAACCAAAATCTACACAACCATTAATCCACTCGTTTTTTATCAGAACTTGTTGGACAATAATTTCACTTAGAAAATTTAAACGCTTGCTCCTTCAAAACACAGAAGCTTTGTCTATAAATGAAATGTGTGTTGAAAAAAGTTCGAATGTCACAGATCGAAATATACATTAGTTTTATTCAAGAATATCAAACAAAACTTTGATTAACAAAGGCTACAGATACAGCTTCAGATTGCGTGGAATCGACCTAAACAAAATAATACATCAGTCGATATTCAGCATTAATTTATTGATTCCTTTTTAAGTATAATGGTACAAATAATAGCTTAAAAACACTGACAAATTGCTATGACTACCTAGAGAAATGTTATAATTTGTTAATGGTAAAATAAAGATATTTAACAAAGATTGCAATATAGCCTGAATATCATACAAAAGATCACTCTTTTTAAAATCCATGTAATATTTTGTTTGCTGGAAACTTAGGGAAGCGTGATCTCTCAAAGTAGAAGTTTTACGTGACATTTTTATTGTTTCACAATAATAATGCAATTTATTCTAGACTATCTGAAAAAGAGTTCATTGTTTTACTATTGCAAGAAAGTTGTTTATTACACTACAATTCTGATCAAAGCGGCCAGAAATGAAATTTCTCTGACTTCACTGCCATCAACTAATCACCATGTACTAAAGTTTTGTGACTTAGTGATGGTTAACTTGTTATAGACCACGTTTTTCAATGCACACATCGCCTTTACTTGTAATACCAGCCACAACCTGTATGAAACAAACTACAACCAGCAAGCCACGTAGCAAAGGTTCCGTGTCAAAATTATATTGAGTTAGCTTTTAATACTCTTACATTCAAATAATGCACTTACCAATTGACATTTTACGTGGAACTATTTACATTATTGTAATTGAAAAATCGGCGAGCCCTTTGTCGATACTTTCCACTCATTTCGGAAGAGAATAAGAGAAGCACGTTTTCAGTGGCCTCGACTCCACTCGACTCGACTCGACTCGACTCGACTCGACTCGACTCGACTCGACTCGACTCGACTCGACTCGACCCGACTCGACCCGACTCGTCACGACGACTTGACATGGCTCCTCGCCACAATTCGCCACAACCACAACGAGCTACGACGCGTCACGACACTCCAGAATAAACAACGACATATTACGATTGTAATCAGTCGCCACGATTATCCACGACCACTGTTTACCATATCACCCTCCACGAGCGCCCACGCCCCGCACGCTCCACCTTCCTGCGCTACACCATCCCCACCCCTCCACACCCACGCTGTCGCAGACGCCACCGCGTCCTCGCCCGCCCACGCGGCCTGCGCAATGTTTTATTTATGGGCGGCCGCATCGCCCGCGCAGCGCGCAGAGATGCATTATGGATGCACGCTCCGCGGGTGCGTCGCCCTCTCCCTCGCCTCTGCCACCGCCCCCGCAGCTGCACACGGGCGCGCGTTAACGCGGCGGCACGTCCGCCCACCCGCAGAGATGCACTTGCACTCGACGCCTAGGAGCAGCGCGCTTCCGTAGACGGAATGAATCAGAGCCCCGATTCTGGGCGCACACTCTTTTTATGGTCGGGGATACAAACGGGAAGGCAGAGGACATTCAGTTCATTATAATTTGAATGTACGCACAACGTAGATTTTGCGGTGGGTGGGAGATTACCGTAGAATGTTCTGATTGCATGATTAGTGATTCCGGGCGCGTCAACTGCTAAGGTCATTAGTCCTTTTATTGTGATGCATGTATCGTGAGAGCTGACAGTCATCGTCCCTGGCTGGCGAGATCCGGCGCCGACCTACCGTCAGCTTGCTTGCATTTCCCCCAACCAGATTTCCCCCACCAGCGGGTTACCGCCGCAGCTTGGACAAGCTATATATTAAGCTCCTGACTGGTCTTTCAACAAATATGATTGTGTGGTGCATATGAGTGTAAGTAAGGGGGTGAGGGATGGACAAAGAAGAGGAAGGAAAGATCATGCGTGGTGTGTGGCCCGTTTGTTAGGGTAGTACTCCAGCATTTGCCTGTATAAACCACGGAAAAGTGCCAATCCGAGCAGCGGACGCTAGAATTCTCTTCCAGGCAGCGACTGAATTCGACCTGGCTTCCAAGCTAGTGTGACGTAGTGAAATGAGAATAAATTCAAATAACAAAAAATAAAAATAGTATATTGAAAAGTTACAGACTAGTTACAATAAATTGCTAAATTTAAACACTCCGGCAACCTTTTCCTTCCTGTACCCTGCTTTCCCGCAGAAAAAATGCCACGCGTGATGCGAGCTGTCGGACTTCCGTC